TTCCTCTGTCTTATGCCAATAAATTTTATTTGAACTTATTTTTACATGTGCAACATATAAGTGTGTTACAAGCTGTGGGGTCGGGATATAAATTCAGAATACAGTTTACCAAAACTGACACTTTTTTTAGATACACTAACAACAACAACAAAGTTATATCACTTGTTAAAAGAAAAACATCTCAAACGTTCTATTTTTTTTTTAATTGTTCTTTTTTTCTTTTTTTTTCAGAAATATTCTTTTTTTCTAATCATTCTTTTTTGTTTCGTCACTCTCTGCACCATGGTGCTAGTCTCCCCCGGAGCCAGCACGACAAGTATTTACTAAATGTTGACTGAATACAATATAGTTGTATACATCAAAACATTGTTTTAGCATTTGAGATTTGTTCATAGGGCACATGAAGCGGGTCCCGATGGGGACATATAGATTTACATGTTTAGGAATTTCGTTGATTCAAAATACAGTTACTTCAAAATTCAAAGTGAAAATTCTGTCCGAACTATGATATGCGTATGTTAACTGATTCGTTTAGATCAAAGTATCTCCATGTTGTACAAGAACAATAGACCAAGAACAACTCTAATCTGGTCAATATGGCTTTGCTTTTACAGTAACACATTTTCAGTGTCATCTTACAAATGGACTACCCTTTTTTTCTCTTATCTCGTAAAATACAGCTGGTTTTTGGAATTGCAAGATTGGGCTACAAGTAGCAGAGTGAGATATTTGTAGGGCTCTAGGCTACTAGATTTGCGTGACTTACTACTTTTTGGACCACTTTAAAATTCAAGATAATGTTAAAGTTGTTTCAACAATGGCCTGAATAAAGTTAACAAAAAAGAAAGTAAGTGAATCTTAAGTTTAAATGAGTAATAGTCTGCAGGAGTAGTCTAATCCTGAAATGAGCAATCCTTTTTCTTCCAGAACTTTATAAACTAATTTATTAGAGTAACAAAGTATTGTTGAAATTTTATAATGACAATAAGAATGAAGACGACGTTGATTACAGGAGTTGATTGCTGACATTGATCAACTCCTGTAATCAATGTCAGTAATCAACTCATGCCAAACTATCAATTTTGGTGCTAAATCTAGTGTTTTTAATCAGTTGTTTAATACACTGTTCATTAAAATTCATTGAACTTTTATATAATACTTATTATGTATATTGTAATATATTATTGGCTGCAATTTGAAAAAAATTGTTAGACCTATAAATTTCCTCTGTCTTCTGTCTGTCCATCTTTCCTTAATCTTAAGAACAAAGTTAGATAGATGAAAGTCAAGACCAGACATGAAATTCTTAGGGGCAGGAAGTCCTGATTAACTACATACAAACTTCAAGTGCAAATCTGATGTCACATTATTTCAATTCAAAAATTTTCCTCTGAAAGGAGTTAGATGACTGGCACAACTCTATTGCTAACAGGAAAAATATGATGTACATGGACAAGACACTACTAATTTGAGGCGGAGAGCATATATTTTAAATTAAATAAATTAAAAATGTAATTAAAAATTGCAGCCTGGCATTCTGGTGATGTCACAATAAATAATTGCTCATAACTCTATATTCTATTTTAGTCCTAGTAATTTGTCTAGTAGAAGTCAATATTATAAACCTATTATTGTGATAAAGAAAATGAAGATTGAATAAATGCTTAAAAGTGCATCAAGTTTTGTCAACAATCTTACTTCAAATTGATGTTTTATTTCTCAGCCTTTGTAGTCCAAAATCAGCCTTTCCTAGCTATCAAGTCAGCCTCATCTATAATTTAGGTTAGCAAATATGAGATATACTTCACTATATTTAATCATACAAATACCATTTACCAGTATTTAATTATTAAAATACAAGGCTCCAAGGGGGTGTGAAGCACAATATAAAGCCACAACAAGAATGGCCTCTTAGCCTATCCATCTCAACCCTTAGCTCACTTTCACGTAGTGGAGCCTGTTAAGTCGAGTGTCGACAAACAAACGAGCATAAAGGGAGCCCTGCAAGGGTAATACTCCGTCTTCGACGGAGTATTACCCTTGCAGGAGCCTGGAGGAGGGCCTTCCGGGGCTGGGTGCCACTGGAGGCGGGAGGGTATCTGTAAATAGCAGATGACCATCTGCCGCTTAAGGTCTGTAGTGAGTCTCTAGGAGCTCAGATGCTAGGCCACTGCCAAATCCTTGCTAAGCCTGGTTCCTCAGCCCAGGTTAGAAAAATGGGAAGGTTGGTGTCTGGTTGGCGGCTGACTGTAAAAACCCCCAGCCAAATCTTTTTGTATGGAATGTCTGATGCCATTTTGAGATGTGATAATACTAGGGTGTACCCCATAGGCGATGCGCAGCCGCAGCACCTGGCGGCTGTGGGAAATGGACAAGGGTTGTTGTCTCATATGGGACGGGGACAACATAAGAAGCGAGTCCCATTAAGAGTGGGAAGTTGGAATATACGGACTATGACAGAGAGAGGAGCTGAACTAGCAGATACCCTAAGAAGAAGAAGAGTCAATATAGCATGCTTGCAGGAGACAAAGTGGAAAGGGGCCAAAGCTAAAGAGATTGTTAGGTGTATTGAGTTCACGGGTTGGATGTCACGCCAACTTATGTCAATCAAAACTTCCAAGAACGTCAGTCTCATAGACTGACGTTCTTGGAAGTTTTGATTGGCTAAAGAGATTGGCGAAGGGTATAAACTTTTCTACTGTGGTAAAGATGGAAAGAGGAATGGAATGGGGATAGTCGTAGACGACGACTTAAAGAAGAATGTAGTCATAGTCAATGAGTTCAAATATGTCTGTTGTATGGATAAGATGCTACAAAATGTGCTCTGTGATTATTTTGTGTTTTTTGCATTAATTCAAGTCGGAGGTTATTATATTTAGTGTTTTCGTATATTGGAAGACAAGAGGATTGACATAGTCATAGTCAATAGAGTAAATGATAGATTAATATTGGTGAAACTGAGTATTGGAGAACTGATAATTAATGTAATCAGTGCATATGCTCTGCAAGTGGGTGTAGATGCTGGAGTAAAAAAGCAATTTTGGGAAGATTTGGCTACGATAATGACAGAGATACCGACAGATGAAGAGATATTTATTGGAGCAGACTTTAACGGGCATGTGGGAAAAAATAATGCTGGTTATGAGAGAGTACATGGAGGCAAAGGATTTGGTGGTAGAAATTTCGAAGCAGCGTGTGTTTTGCAAATGGCCACCGCCTATGATTTAGTAGTGGTTAGCACTTATTTTGATAAATGTGAAGAACATTTAATAATTTATAACAGCAGGGATCATAAATCACAAATAGACTACCTATTAACAAGATGGACTACTCTAAAGAGGATTAAGGACTGTAAAGTGATACCAGGAGACGACTTGACTAGTCAGCATAGATTCTTAGTAATGGAATTAAATAAAATGAAAAATGGGAAATCAGTGGGCCCGGATTATATACCAATAGAGATATGGAAAGTCCTAGGAGAGGAGGGAAGAGACTGGTTAACAGAGCTGTTTAATCGCTTTAGTTCCCAGCAATTTTTAATATTAATGTAATTAAACATAAAAAATACTCAAAACTGAAAAAGAACAAAAGAAATGCTTTAATTTTAAAGAAAAGGCTTCAAACTTGATTTTCCATTGTCTTGCCTTTCTGTGAAATCTGACACTGATGAGTCATTGTGTTTACAGCTGGATGACCTTGAGAACAGCTGGTGTTGGATTTCCTGGGACATTCTCATAGAAGTCTCGGGAGGCAATGTGTTTATAGGAGGGTGAATACTAGCTGGCCATATATTTTTAAATATTTTTAAAAAATTAAAATTTTTATTGAGATTTCCAACCCCCCGACTTAATTAAACATATATATAATAAAATCTATTAGTTAAAAAAATTAAAAAACTATNCAAAAAATATACGTATTTTGGAAATGTTGAGTCGAATTAGTCTAGAATCGATTAATTTTATGGAAGAAAACCTTTCAAACAGCCATAGTCCGTAAACTGTGATTCCTACAAAATTGATTCATAAAGAACGGAACATATCTACCGTCTTATAGGGGATCTACTATATACTATATTAATAATACTATTCTACCCTTCTACCTCTATACTGAATTTATTTAGTACAATGAAGATAAAGTTTTACAAACAACATAATTTTCATTCTTGTACCTTTTTTTTCAGGATGGGAATGGATTAATTGAATATCAGTTATTTATTATAAAAGTGTTTCTATATTCGTCATATTCCATATTCGTTAGGTCATTAAGAACAGATTAATGACGAATATAGGGGTTCCACTGTATTTCTATATAATGATTAATTAATTAATATAATTTCACACTAGAAGAATTAAGAGCCATTGTGCATTAAATTTAATAACTCAAACTTAATAATTAATTAATTTAGAGAAATCTAGAAGAGATCTAGTCTGATGAAAAACTCAAAATTGCAATTAATGCAAGCTAGTCATATGACATTACTGATTATTTAAGCATTTAATCTTCCCAAGCAGAATGTTTGTCAATTTTATCAACACATGATTCATTTTGCTTTTATTCTTCAAAATTTTCTTATTTTCTTAACACCTCCTTCCATTATATAAGGAAGAAATGCAAGTGTCAATCTACCAATATTTAATGCAGAGTATATGTAAAAACAGAGCATGTGAAAGCTTAGTTTGCAGAAATAAAGAAATTCTAAAATGATAATACTGAACATAAGTGTGGTATTTTTTAATTGATGTTTATGAGAAGCACATAATCCTTTATGCTGTCCACTTTACAGAGGTTTTCAAAAATAGGAAATGTAAGAAATAATTATCTGTTACCTGCAGAAAAGCAGAATCTGCTGAATCAAGGTAAAAATGTATTAGTAGTCCTATTACTAAGCCAGAACTAGACATTTTGTCCACTAAATATATAACTAGCATTACAACATTGTAAAGTATAGAAGTGTAATTAATAATAATTTATTACAGTAAAACCTGTGTAAACCAAACTTGTACGGTACCAAATATTTTTTCCAGTTTGACAGGCTTCCATTTTGAACAGATTTTTTTTAAACATAGAAAACTGCTATATTCCAAAGAACTTTTTCCTGTTTAGGCAGGTTTCCATTTTATTCAGGTTCTATTTTGGACAGGTTTTACTGTATTGATATAATAAATTCAAATAAAAATAAATAATGCATATTTATGCATTATTTATTTTAATAATAATGCATATTTATGCATGATTTTCAAAGAATTCATAATGTGAAATGTAGATCTTAATGTATTATTATATATTAGATTATGTAAGATTTTTATGCTAGTTACAGGTTATTAAAGAAATTAACAATTTATAAAATATAACTATTATAAAATTTATAATAAGAATTTTTTCAGCAAAATCAGTAAAAATACATATTTCAGTGTATATTTTTGCCAATCTCAAAAATAAATTAGGGTGCGACTATGCAGACGCAAGTGAGCGAATTTTCCGAGCGAGCAAGAATATGTGGCGAGAAGAGGCAAGACGCGATAAATATCAAAACCTGTCAGATATGTGCGAGAACCAGAAATTTGCTCTCGCCAGCATTATTTCTTGCTTCTCATTTATGCATGGTTTTCCTTTGCTAAAACTAAATCGCTCGCGACCTCTCGCTCGTTCTAAATTCGCGTCTGCATAGTCGCACCCTTAGTATACACAGCATATTATAAAATTAAATTTTAATTTTTAAACAAATCTTTTTCCCATTTCAGCATTAGTGTAATTAATATCATTTATCTCACAATAAATAATACTAAATTAAATTAATTCCTTAATGAAATTTAAATTTATATTTTGCTAAATATGAAATATCTTATTACTGAAGCTAAATATCATACTAAGATAAATAAATATATTTAACATATGCATAATTAAATTGTAATTATTTCACCTTCTTCTTCTATCCTGAATCCAAATTCATCAAAACGAAAATCTGGATATGATGCTGCATCTTCTGGCTGTTGTATAATTTATAAATTTAAAATTCAATTTTAATCAAACTTTTTAAGAGAAAACTTTACATTATTTACCTGGGCAAATGATGCTAATAAATCTTGAGGCCACATTGACGGAGTGAGAGCTGAAAATGGACCACCAGGTGCAGGAGAATATCCCTGACCAGAAGGGGAACCAAATAAATTAGCTCGAATGCTGATAGATTCACCAACATCATGTGGATAAGATTCATCATCATCAGACAATGTTTCCACTGAAAAGCATTATTTTTTTTATTGATTCAAAACTGTAAATTAGTCAATAAATCTACATCTGCATTTTTTTTAAAGATTATTAACTTGCTTCAAAATTATTAAGACAAAAGAAAATGTAATTATTTTAAATTACAGTTTCTTCTGTCTTATTACTAATTATTCTTTTTTAAATTTTTTGTATTATTTACAGTTACTTAATCTACTGTATATAGGCATAGAATTCTGTTTATAAAAAGCTACTGTAAATTATAACCATGTATCACAAAACAAAATTTAAAGTTGTATAATAGTAATATATAGAAATATATTAAAAATATGATAATAAGATCATTTTGTTAACATCTGACTATTAAAAAGAAAAACTTTTCATGTTTCATGTTCATGAAAACTGAGAGAAAAATGATTGTGTATAAAAGGGATAAACTTTTTACATGAAACAAAATTATTCTCTCAAAATCTCATAGAAATTACAGTGTACTCTCACTAACCTGAATTTAATTACTGTAGTGTGTTTAGATTAGTGGTGTTATACATAAAGAAAGGAAAAAGACTACAGATAAATATGAGTATTTAAAAAAAATTATATTAGTACATTTAATTATGTTAAAATGTTTAATGTATATTAATATTACAAATTTGTCATGTTTTAAAAAATATTCTATAATTTCTATTTGTTTTTTGCTGGAACATTTGGCAATAATAAAGCTAGTTTAAATAAAGCAGAATTTAGATTAGTGATATCAAAATGTAATTTAAAAATAAAGTGAAGGAGCATTTTTATTATTTAATGAAAGCTTATTTATTGAAAGAATAACAAATAAAATAAAAAATAAATACACTAATAAAAAATTTAAAATATAGATTTAACTAGTTTTATAATCAGTCAATATCAAAAAATTTGGTTTTAAATAGTTTATTAATAATTAAAATTATTACAGGTTTCAAATAACTATTACACTACTTTCAAAAGTTATATGTATATGTAGTGTTAGGTATATGTTGCAATGTGCTGCTAGCATGGAGGACTCTTAGGCATAGAGCCCAATTGGAAGCATTTGGCTCAACTGACTTAAAGTCAGCCTTGGGTCTGGCATCGTCATTGCAAAGTGTAACATCTTGACTAAGGAATCTAGAATGTTTTCTTATAATATCCTCTTTCAACCATGTTGCAATACAAAGCAGCATTAACCCTTGTCAGGATAAGCTATTTTTATAATACAAATGGATAAGGTGAGTCCAATGACTCAACCAGAGCCACCCCTAGGGCCGGGCAACTGGGGCAACCGCTCCGGGCCCCACGCTTAAGATTTAGCAAAATAATGTTTTATAATTAAAATGTAATAACTTGTATTTCAATGTAAAACTTAATTTTAAAGTGTAATTGTAAGGTACACTGGAAAAATCTCACAAATCTTAATTTCTTGATACAACTTTGCTACTAATTGATTTTATGATCTACAAAAAGAATAACTGTTTAATGTATAAAGTCAAATATATTTATGTTTATTAGTAGTTTTTTTTTATAAAAGAATAATTACCTTAAAAATAATCAAAATAATAATAAAGAAAAAAAAAGTTTTTATAATATAAATTATAAGTTGGTGGTATGAACCTACCAACAAAACTAGGTGCCAAGTCAGATTGGTGTAGTTAGCATAACATAGAACATTTATACACTTGAGCATATTGTAAGCTAAATGTTTTAATTGAACAAATTTATGCTGCTTAATGGTACTTTTTTTTTAATTTACTAAGGTGTCTTAATTTAACTTCGTTCAGCACTCTGTTACGTAAAACAACAGAGAAAAACATTGTTATAGTGATAACTTTAAAACTGGGATTGGAACTTTACTGACACAATTAAGTGTTTCAAATTTTTCAATTACAGTGGTACCTCAGGATACGAAATTAATCCGTTCCGAAACTGAGATCGTATCATGAAAATGTCGTAAGGTGGATCATCTTTTCCCATATGATTACATGTAAAACCAAATAATTCGTTCCAACGCGAAAAACATACTCAAATTAAAGCCAAGTAATACATTTAAAAAAATAACTGTAGTAAGAAAAACAAATGAAAAATGCGAACTAATGTAACGTCGTATGGTGAGTTTTTGTTCGTATCGTGGA